CTGGAACACTATGTCATATCGGAAATTGTGTAGAAGTTTTTTTTAAATACATTTCCCATTAATAGCGGCCATACTATTATCGCAGGCGAACAATCCGATATCGCTGTACGTCCGGTCAGTGATTCAACGTCATATTGGAAAGTGTGTAGATCTTTAATATTTCGACTAATATTCCAGTTGTAGTCTCGAAAGTATATACTTGAGCGAACTTCGAAAATGTACGAATATTCGAATAACGATGTACTACATTTCGTTTCCGTGATTCTATGTTTATGTACGTGTATATATACATATATATATATATATATGATATATATATATATATATATATATATGTATATATACACGTACATAAACATGTGATTCTATGTTTATGTACGTGTATATATACATATATATATATATATATATATATATGATATATATATATCATATATATATATATATATATGATATATATATATATATATATACATATATGGACATGCTATGCTGTGTTATCGAAAAACTGTAATTTGAAAAGAATATATACATCGAACGGTTCTAATTCTATTATACAGGGTGTCCGCAAAGTTGGGGTTATCCTTTACACGACGTGTAGATCTTGAAAACATAAGCAATTTTTCTTAGTGCCATATACACCAATATCTTAAGGGAACCGAGATAAAGGGCTCTGCAACATCAAAAATATCTGAATACCGTCCTGTAGCCGCCACCCGCCGCGATGCCCCAGACAGGTACCGGCTACTAGCTGAACCCGACGACAGAACTGGGTCGGGGGTGGGGGTCCGAGTGTCAGGTCAGTATGCAACCTTCAACCGACGGTAAAGGGTCACGCGTATAGAGGTATAATAAATATAATAATAATGGCACACTCATATACCAATAATGAACTCGTTGATATGTTGTTAATTTATTAATGAACGTCTTCAAAATGATACAGAATCGTCGCGAGTGTATGCAGATCTTTTCCCTAGACGACATCATCCAAGGCCCCGCAGATTTGTGTACCCGGTCCAGAGAGTCAGGGATACGGGCCATTTGGAGGAATATCGAGGTGGGCACAGTGGGAGGTCTAGACAACCACGAATGGTGCTAGTTGAGGAAGAACTACTGAATCGCGTAGACGAGAATCCCTCAACAAGCACTAGAGACGTGGCTAGAGAAGTGCGAGTATCACAAACTAGAGTGTGGCAAACGTCCAACCTGACGATTTTCCAGCAAGAGTGCGGTTTTGTGAGTGGTTGTTGCATCAACATGACAATAATCCGGACTTTTTGAAGTGCATATTGGTGACAGACGAATCTACGTTCACACGTAATGGGGTCAACTGGAGAGTGAGTACTTTTTCCTTTATATATTTTTTTTACATGGTCGGCCCTCGTTTCACTACGCATTACCTTTGTTATTTCAAGGGTAGTTGTTTCTGAAAAGGAAAAGCCCAACTTTGCGGACACCCTGTATTAACCTTCGGAAATCGTGGATACCCTTATGTTGACTGATTTCGCTGTTGAACAATAAAAACAATGACACTCCGTTAATACTATTAACTGTTAGAACAAGTTACCATACACCGATCCGCGGGGAAAGGAATAAACGATAAGTAATCAATTTTGGGCAGTTAACATCAATTAAACTCAGAATACCAAAATAAAAAGGATTTTCCGTTGGCAATATATTCGGTCTGCTGTTACTTATGGGCTATAAATGTATAAAAAAAATTGTGTTACTTAATTTTGTTATTTTACAAAACGGTCTTCGTCTTCTTCTTCTTCTTCTGCTACGGTCTTCACACACACACACACACACCCTCCTACCCTGTGCGGTCCCTCCACCACCCCTGTTCCAGGCAACCTCAAACCCTTGAGGAGCTCCTCCCCCCACTCCCGCCCAAAGGCCTGGAGTGGCGCTGCGTGGTTCAGGCCGCTTGCGCATTCCCCGAGTGTGTGCTGCCGAACGAGCTATCCCCCCTTCCCCAATTTTGCCCCTTTTTCCCGAAATTTGACTCGATCGCGCACGCGTCGCGGAAGCGCGTGGTGGACGTTTCTTCCAACTGTCGGTTCTCGACTTTATGGCCGGCCTCTTTTCTTGGGGGTCCTGCGCTGGGGGCTTTCGACCTAAGCCCCTCCTAAAGGTTGGTGAGCCTTCGCTCTTTCCTCGTCGACTGGAGTCAGTCAGTCGTCGTCAGTCAGTCATATTTGTAAGTCATTCGTCTCCTGAGGTTAGCCCCGAGTCCGTGCTTGACTCTGGCCACCTCAATCGACAGGCTTCTTTTTGTCCACCCGTTGTACACGGGCTGTTCTTTCCCCTCTTGGGTGTACAACTATTGTCGGTCTTCTCCCCTTTTCTTTGGCCTGATCAGCTGCTAGGGCCAAATATCTTCTTGTTGCAGCTGGCTTTTCGGTCTTTTATGACGCCTTATTGTTCTTGGGTCGTAATCCAAGGCGGCTTCAATCAGCACATTTCTTTTCAAAGAACTTTCTGGCCCTCTCTCTCATCTGGATTACGACCGGTACCTGTCGTAGTTCGTCATATAGCACTCTGTTAGGTACATACCACGGTGCGTCCACCGCTTCACGGAGTGCCATGTTTTGTTGAGCTTGGAGCCTCTTCTTCATCGTTTTGGAAACGTAGCCCCAAGCTACTGCTGCGTAAGTCATGATTTGTAGCAGCACCATCTGAATCATGATGGTCTTATTCTTTAGTGACACTTTGCTTCTTCTGCCCGTTAAGGGTCTTAGTTTGGAGCGTGCCATCTTCACTTTCTGCACCCGGTCTTCGACATGGTTCTTCCAAGTGAGTTTCTGGTCCATCTTGACTCCAAGGTATGTGCTGGAGTCTTTCCAGTCGACCTCAACCTCTTCATCTCTTCTCCAGCCTCTCTCCATTCTGGTGGTCGTCATCTTTATTTTGGTCTGAGGTAATCTTCGATTTCTTCGGAACAGTACCGCTTCGGTCTTCTCGGGGTTGAGGCGGATCTTCCACTTGATGCACCATTCCTCTAGGTTGGTGGTCGCTCGTTGCAGATATTCCGTAACCATGCGGGGTCTCGTACTTTCTGCCGCATATGCTGTATCGTCCGCATACACATACAGTTGCGTTTGAGGAGTCTTCGGGATGTCTGAGCTGTAGATTGGATACAGCAGGGGTGGTAGAACCGCTCCCTGCGGTACTCCTGCCTCCACAGTCCTCGTCGTCGAGGTTGTTTTACCGATCCTAATTCGGAAATTTCGGTGCTTCAAGTAGGACTTCACCAGTTGGATCATCCCCTTTGAGTATCCGTGGTCTACCATCTTGTAGATCAGTCCGTCATGCCAAACAGTGTCGAACGCCTTTGCGGCATCCATGAACACAGCTCCCACGGCCCGCCGAGTCTGGAACGATTTCGTTGCCATCTCGACCAGCCTTAGGACCTGGTGCTCTGCTGAATGCCCGCATCGGAATCCGAACTGTTCGTCTGGAACTACTCGGAGTTCTTCGGTTTCGTTCTTCAGTCTTCGTTCGATTACCCTTTCCGCAATCTTGCTCAGTGCCGTCAACAGGCTTATGGGTCTGTAGTTTTGGGGGAACCTTGGGTCTTTCCCAGGTTTAGGAATGTTGATCACCTCGGCTACTTTCCAGTGATCTGGAAAGTACCGGTGTCTCAGTATGGCGTTGACGATGTTGGTAATTGCCATTATCGCTTTCCTCGGGAGTCTCTTCAGGACTCTGTTCCCAATATCGTCTACACCCGGTGCCTTCTTCACCTTGAGTCTTTCGATGATTTCCCTTACCTCGCCTGGAGAGGGCATGTCTTCGATGGCTCTTCCTCCTCTGACAGCTCTCCTCGATCTTCTCATCACCTCGTCGATGAAGTCTTCGTCTTCATCGGGGTGAGTATTGAGAGTACACTGTCTCTGAAGGTTGTCAGCAAAAGCTTCCGCCTTCTCTTCGGTTGTGTACACCATCCCCTGTTCGCTGTGTATTGGGGGGATGGGCTGTCTTCTATTTCTGAGGATTTTAGCCAAGTTCCACATTCCTGGGTCAGCTGGAGATAGTTCGTCGAGTTTCTTATCCCAGGTGCTCTGATGGTGCTGCTTCAAGGCGTCTCGTGCCTGTCTCATAAGTCTGTTTGCCACCATGATGTCAGTGGGGCTTCTGGTCTCCTGGGCTACTCTTCGGGCTCTGTTTCTTTCGGTGATCTTGCGATTTACCTCGTCAGGTAGGTCCCTGAACCTGTTTGGTTGCGTTATGTCTTCCACGGTGGTTGCGGCTTCTAACGCAGCCTTAATCTTCCTTTCTAGGTCCGTGACCGCTTCTTCTATGCTTTCGGGGCTTTCGATCTGTAGTAGTGGTCCTTGTGAATAGTGCAGTCTGGTTCTAAACCGCTGCCAATTCACTCTCTTCACTGTTCTTTGTTCCACAGGTGTTATCCCATCTCCCGTACAGAGAAAGATGGGGTTGTGGTCTGAGCTTCCCTCTTGCATGGCGCCGATGGTGGTGCGCATGTCGATTTCCTTCAGAATCGCCATATCTATGACGTCTGGTCTACCTCCGTTGCTGGGGTATATTGTAGGTTCGTCCGGACCTATCATGGTATATCCAGGTTCATCCATTAGTCTTTCCAGAACAGCGCCGTGACTGTTTCTGTTTCTTGAGCCCCAAATGGTGGACTTCGCGTTTAGATCACCTACGATCACGGTACTGTTTCCCAGTGCAGTGATACAGGTGACATCTTCCAGATATTACGGACTTCTTCTATACATATATATATATATATATATATATATATATATATATATATATATATATATATATATAGAGAGAGAGAGAGAGAGAGAGAGAGAGAGAGAGAGAGAGATAGATGAAAAGATTAAAATAACGACCACAGCTAATTATCATTTTGCATTTTATCATAACATAGTGGTTCTGAAAAGAACCGTTTTTTTTTTGTTCTTATTTTTCGAACCGTATAACCGTCGAAGCGAATACAACGTCTATATTATTTTGAACTGGTGTACTTGGTGACGGCTTTGGTACCTTCGCTGACTGCGTGCTTGGCCAATTCTCCCGGTAGCAATAGTCGTACGGCTGTCTGAATTTCTCTGCTAGTTATCGTGGCACGTTTGTTGTAATGTGCCAATCTGGAAGCTTCCGCAGCGATACGTTCGAAAATATCGTTGACGAAGCTGTTCATGATGCTCATCGCTTTGCTGGATATACCCGTATCGGGATGTACCTGCTTCAGTACTTTGTAGATGTAAATTGCGTAACTTTCCTTCCTCCTGCGCTTCTTTTTCTTGTCAGATTTTGAGATATTCTTCTGCGCCTTGCCCGCTTTTTTGGCAGCCTTACCGCTAGTTTTGGGTGGCATTTTATTGTGAGATGATGCTGAGTATAATCGACACCAACGCTCGACTAACGGAACGACTGGAACAGGAACAGGAACACAAAGTTCCTAAGCGAACCCACCACCTCCCCGGTCCAGGTACCCTCACTCTTTCCGGCCCCAGTGGCGGTACGTGGACTGGACGCTCCTGCAACTTGTGTTCCTGTCGGACGCAAACCCCACCCCCCACCCAATTTTGCCCTTTAAATTTTCGCGCTTTTCCCCCCCTCGGAATTTTGCCCCGCCGAAAGGTGTGGTAAGCTAATCACGACGCGGAAGCACGGCTGCAGAACGGAAGTGGTCATTTATACTCGTGTACCTTTCTCCGGTTTTACGAGTCGTCCTCTATTTGGGGTTCCATCGGTGGGACCTTGACCTGAGGTCCGCATTAAGGTTTCCCAAGACGGCTTTTGGGTTCTTCGGTTTTTTGATCTTCTTTCTTGAGTGTTGCCTCCTGACCACGCCGACAAATGCCGAAGTCGTCAGAAGGCCCGCTTGTTAGTGCCATCTAAATGCCCCGCACCTCAAATGAGATCGGTGCATTCAGCATGGCAAATCTTCGCCGTCTGACCACCGGTACTGCACAGGACTTTGCCTATCTTGCATGCAGTACCTTCCTCGCGAGGTTCTACCCCTCTTCTTTAGGACTCATCAGCTGCTGTGTCCCATATCTTCTAGCAGCTGGCTCTTCGGTCTTTTGTGCCTATGTATGAACCTTGGATCGTAGTCCAAGGCGGCCTTGATGAGCTGGTTCTCGTGTTCTTCGGCGTTGTTGAAGAACTTCCGAGCTCTGGTCTTCATCACTTCGAGCACTGGCACTTGTCTCAGGTCTTCGTATAGCACTCGGTTTGGCACGTACCACGGTGCGTTGACCGCTTCTCGGAGTGCTATGTTGTGTTGTGCTTGGAGCTTCTTCTTCCACGTCTTGGCTGCGTAGCCCCAAGCAACTGACGCGTAGGTCATAATCGGTAGGAGCACCATCTTGATCAGCAGCATTTTGTTGTTCAGGGAGAGCTTGCTCCTTCTTCCAAGCATCGGTCTTAGCTTGGCTCTTGCCATCTTGGCTTTCTGCACTTGGGCTTCTATATGGTGTTTCCAGGTGAGACCCTTATCTATCTTGACGCCGAGGTACTTGCTGGTGTCTGTCCACTGTACCTCTTTTTCTTCGTCACGCACCAGGCCTCTCAGCACTTCTGTGGTTGTCATCTTGAGGTTGCCTTCAGGGGTCTTGCGGCTCTTCCTGAGGAGCATCGCCTCGGTCTTATCTGGATTTAGCTGGATCCTCCATTTCTTGCACCATTCCTGTAGACTGGTTGTCGCTCTTTGTAGGTAAGTCGTAGCCATGCGGGGCTGAAATGACTCGGCTACGTACGCAGTGTCGTCCGCATACATCAGCAGCTGCGTATTTGGGGTCTTCGGAACGTCGGAGCTGTAGATGGCGTATAGTAGAGGGGATAGGACCGCTCCCTGCGGTACCCCAGCCTCTGCAGTTCTGGTCGTCGAGGTGGTGTTTCCCAGTCTAACCCGGAATCTTCGGTTCTTCAGATATGACTTCACCAGCTGAATCATCCCTGTCGAGTATCCCTTGTCTTGCATCTTATAGATGAGTCCGTCGTGCCAGACGGTGTCAAATGCCTTCGCGACATCCATGAACACCGCCCCCGCGACTCGCCGAGCCTGGAACGCACGCGTCCCACACTCCACGAGCCGAAGCAGCTGGTGCTCTGATGAATGGCCGCTCCGGAATCCGAACTGTTCGTCTGGCAGTACTCTAAGGTCCTCGGTTTGTTGTCTAAGTCTTCGCTCGATTGCCCTTTCTGCAACTTTACTCAAGGAAGTTAGTAAGCTGATTGGCCGGTAGTTTTGTGGGAATTTTGGGTCTTTCCCAGGCTTCGGGATGTTTATTACTTCCGCGATCTTCCATCTGTCCGGGAAGTATCGGTGCCTCAGCATAGCGTTCACGATGTTGGTTATGGCCACCATGCCCTTTCTCGGGAGCCTCTTCAGGATTCTGTTCCCTATTCGGTCGCAGCCCGCTGCTTTCTGGTCTTTAGAGTCTTGATGATGTCCCTGATTTCCGTCGGGGAGGTGGCTTGCTGCACCATTTCTCCTCCTCTCGTAGCTCTTCTGGATCTTCTTTCCACTTCTTCTACGAAGTCTTCGTCCTCATCTGGGTGCATGTATGTCGTACACTGCCGTTGTAAGTTATCTGCGAATGCTTCGACCTTCTCGTCGTTCGTGTACGCGGTCCCGTAGGCTCCTTGCAGCGGGGGAACTTGTTGTCTGCGATTTCTCAGGATCTTCGCTAGCTTCCACATTCCTGGCTCACCTGGTGTTAGTTCCTCTAATTTTCTTTGCCAGCTGCGTTGATGGTGCTCCATCAGGGCTTTTCTCATCTCTTCGGTCTTCCTTTTTAGCTCTCGTTTGTGTTCTGGGTCTCCTGTTCGTTGAGCTAGTCTTCTTGCCCTGTTTCTGTCGGTGATCTTCTGGTTCACCTCTGGGGGTAGGTCTCTGAACCTGTTGGGCAGCGTGATGTCTTCTACCGTGGTAGTAGCATCTAGCGCGTCCTGGATCTTCCGTTCTAGGCCCTGAACTGCTTCCTCTATGCCTTCAGGAGTCTCTATCTGAGGTAGTGGGCCGAGTGAGTAGTGAAAGGTTCGCCGGAACCGGTCCCAGTTCACTCTTCTGGCTATCCTCTTCTCCACGTTTGGTGCTCCCTCTCCTATTTCCAGGAATATGGGGTTGTGGTCAGAGCTTCCTTCTTGTAGAACACCAATGTTGCAAGACACGTCTACCTTTTTCAAGATAGCAATGTCTATTACATCAGGCCTTGTACCGTTGTCTGGGTACAGCGTGGGTTCGTCAGGTCCTAGTATGGAGTACTCCGGTTCATCCATCAGCCTCGCAAGGATTTCGCCATGTCTGTTGTTCGTGCGCGAGCCCCAGATCCTAGATTTGGCGTTCAGATCTCCTATGATGACAATGCTCTCGCCCATTCCGCTGATTTGCGTGATGTCGTCCATATGCAGAGTCACCGTTGGTGGTATATATACCGAGATGATGTTCAGCGTGCCGTAGTCCTCCGTGTACACGGCTATTCCTACTGCTTCTGTAGTCCTCAGATCGGGGATTCCTAGCAGGTCGTGGCTGATGCTGCTCCTTACGGAGATCAGCACGCCTCCGCCTCTCTGGTCTCGGTCCTTCCTGTACGTCGTGTACCCTGGGAAGGTCCAGTTTGGAACTCTGCTTGAGAGCATTGTCTCTTGTAACGCCATCACATCGTAGTCCCCTCGAGTTAGCAGTTCTCCTATCTCGTACTTCTTGTTGGAAGCACTATGTACGTTCCAACTCAATATCCGTAGGGTCCTAGATGTTGGCAGGCTGCCCATTTAGTTGGCGTTTCTTCTGTTCTTGCTTGTCATGAATGCCTCCTTGGCTTCGGGGGTATTCATGATGAGCCTCTTCATTTGGGCCATGTGGGTTTCCATGAACCTCTTCAGTTCATCCCCGTCTTCTTCTTCCCGGTTTGTGGAGGGTCTTTCCTGCCTTCTGGGGGCCGTCTCGTTGCTTCTTGCAGCCCTTGCGTAGCTCTGTCCTGGTCTTACTGGGGCTGGCTTCGTGATTTTCTTCTTCTCCTCTCCGCGGCGGGTTTGCTCTTTGGTTTTGAGCTCGGGCGTCTTGGGCATCCCCGTAGTTCGCTGGGTGGCTCCCACCACAGTTGGCGCAGGTTGCCGCTCTTTCTTGCGGCACTTTGCACTCCGATGCGCGATGTGCCCCTGCACATCTCACGCACTTCGGTGCCCCGGAGCAGTTCTGCTGGCTGTGCCCGAACTGCTGGCACCTGTAGCACTGGCCCGGTCCTTCTCTCTTCTTCTGTGCCTCGATCTTTTACTATCATCTGACAGCATTCTGTCAGATCGTAAATCCTCTTTTCTTCCTTTGGAAGATCCACCTTGACCAGCGGGATCTTCTTCCTGGTTCGCCTGCTGGTGAGTCTGTTTACTCTTCTTGGGTGGAATCCTTTAGATTCCAGGTCCTCTTTAACTTCGTCTTCCCCCGTCATCAGTGGCATGCCCCTGATGATAACTGACAGGGATTTCTCGTCTGGCAGGGAGTAGGTGTGGTGTTCCACCTTGTTCTCCTCGAGCGTCTTCCTTACGCTTCGGAATTCATCCTCAGTCGTCAGTTGGACCTTTATGCCCGTCCTGGTGAGTTTTGCCGGCTTGTCGGCTGGGATCTTCTTTCCCTTCTTCATGGTTTGCCACTGGTCTTCCCTATGTATATATAGGGGTGGCGGCCTTCTTGTTTTAGGTTTGGGAGCTGGCTGGGCCTGCTCGGTATCCATCCTATCTTCGGTGGTTGACGGGGGGGGTGGGGTGGTCTTCTCCTCCACTGTCTTCTTCTTCGGGAGCGGGGGGAAGGGGTCCACTGCCGCTTTCTTGGAGGCTGGTTTCTCGTCAGCCTCCTCGGTCTTATCGGCCTTCCTCTTTGTCTTCTTTTTGGGATCGTCTATCTCAATCCCTTGTCTTGCGGCCATGAGCTCGATGAGCTTGGCCGTCTTCTCGCGGGAAAGGTGTGCGGATAAACGGCGAGCTTTAACAGCCACGACGTTACCGACATAGACTCCGCCCCTTACGGGTGACCGACAAACGAAAACGGTGATTGGTCGGAGTAGTTATATAAATATACTCGTACCTAAAGACATTGCCATTCTATTCTATTAATTCGGTCAACGACAGCAGATTGTAGTCGTCGATTCGCAAGTCAAAAAAGAAAATAATAAACAAATAAACATGTCCGGACGAGGAAAAGGCGGAAAAGTGAAAGGAAAGGCAAAATCCAGGTCTAGTAGGGCCGGTTTGCAATTCCCTGTAGGTCGTATACACAGATTATTGCGTAAAGGAAACTATGCCGAACGCGTCGGTGCCGGAGCTCCTGTGTACCTTGCCGCCGTTATGGAGTACTTGGCAGCCGAAGTGTTAGAG